CCTTCTAAAGTCAATTCATGGAGGAATTGGGATTGTTATTGCTACATAACAATCAAGGTATGATCTTAAACCTAATTACATATTAATATGATTGCTTGTATGCTAGAATTAGGGTTTATAGTCTTGGATTCAAAGCATGTACAATAGAGAAATCTAGATCCGAGCATTAGGGTTTGTATGAGCACATAGGATGTCTTATGACCAAAACCCATTAGTGGTATCAGAGTCTAGCTTGGTTTCAATTGTATTGATGCATTGTATAACTAGAAAATTCGATTTTTTGGATTCTAGAGGCTGGACTCGCCGAGTCCATGGCTGAACTCGCCGAGTCCATGCAGACTCGACGATTCCATGCCTGACTCGACGAGTCAACTCGTCAGATAATGCTTATCTCGGGATTTCTTGCTATTTTTGCATATGGATAGTTACCTTATCATGTTAGATCAATATAAATCCGATTTTATGATATATATGACTATATTCTTGATCAAATTAAAGATAATTATCAATTAATAAGATAATTGTTTCCTTATAAGATAATTGATTAATTATTGATAAATTGTTTTGCAAGAAATCATTAAACAAATCAAATATGGATAATTATGTAATTAAATGTTAGTTTAGATTATTTGTTATTTGATCCTTGTTGTTATGAAAAGTTTCATATTTTCCCCTTTAGGTTTTATAGTTTAAATTTGAACCCAAAAGTTTTGAGGTTTTGAAATTTAAATAGTTAAAACCCTAATGTTTTGAAATGTTTCAAAACTTGCCCTCAAGTTTTGGAATTTAAAAGTTGATTAAAAGTTTAATTAGGAATGTTAAATTCTAAAACCCTAGTAATGTTTTGAAAAGTTCAAATCACACCCTTATGGTTTTATTAATTAATTAAGGAGTATAATTAAAAGAGGTTTAAAAAAAAATAAATCCATAAAAGTTTAGGTTAACCGTTTAATTGAATTAAAAGTGTAATTGTTAAAGTTAACCATATATTATTTTAAAAGTATAAAATACATCCTATACTATATATAACATTAAAAGTATAACATTATATATGTATGAGTAAAAGTCAGTCTTACCGTTAGTAGGCCTCATTCACGAAGCTGGTCTATAAGGGGTGTTTAAGGAAATTGCATATAAAATGGCGATTGAATGGGTATCCACTCTTACCCACCGCACTCTTGACTAGTGGAAGGTCGTTAGCCGAACGGGTAGGATATGACGAAACCTTCCATTATAAGTATAATGAAATACAAAGTAACTAGATGTTTTTCAAATTCCCAATTTTAGTTACTTAGGCAAAAGTGAATTGATGCAATTCCATGAAATTACACTTTGTGCCCTTGCGAAGACGTTAGTGGAGCGTGTGTGGTTTACCGGCACACTAAATGGTTCTAAGCAAAGGTAGCAAAGGGTGACTCAATGTTTGTCATAGTTCGGTGGAGCGTGTGTGGTTTACCGGCACATCGAATAGGTGATTGTAACATGTGAGGGCACCATGTAGTTTGCATGGTTATTCACACCCGCTTTGTGATCCTCGGCATCCCAGTCACAAACAAGAGGGGCATATCGAGATTTAAACATGCCATTGAAATATTCAATGAATCTCAAAGGATCTAGGAGTTTTCATAGATTTAAAACTTAAAATTATTTTTCGTTTTTCATGGTGGAAATTAGTGAATCGTCATTCACTTACCTTCAAATGTTCTTCAATTTGGGTTACGGCATCCCTCTCCCGAGTTGTAGAATATTGTGTTGGGTCCTAGCCTTAGTATTTCATTTGGGTGATTTACTAAGGACTCAATCAATCAACTAACTTGAATTCGTTTTTCTCCCGATGTCAAAGTTCGACAACTATGGTCTTCTCAAATCCCGTGGAACAAGCATTCCACATGAAGATGATATTCCATGATTCGATCGAGGAACAAGAAATCATGCTTCACTTCCTCCTCCTCCTCCAATTATTCTCCCTAACCCACAAGATTGTAAAATTGAAAGGTTCAGTATCACTCAAGCCCTTTTGGCAAGTAAACATAAAGAGGGCAAGTCGGTGTGTGCACACGTCTTAGGGATGAAGTCACACATTGATAAGTTAAGAATGATGGGATCCGTTGTCAGTGAAGAGATGGCTGTTGATTGGGTTCTTCAATCACTTCCTAACTCATATAGTGAGTTTGTAAGAGAGTACTATATGATGAACCGCGATGTGACCCTTATAGATCTCACCTATATGCTTATTGCTTCTGAATCAGCAATGGTTTGGCACAATAGAAAAGCAAAGTTGATTGGTGAATCTGCCTTCGAGACCTCTATGGATATAGACAATGGCAACGAAAGACATGCTATGATTAAAAAGATTTATCATAAGAGAAAGGCGATGTCTGAAGTAGTTCCATGTCCTATTCCAAAAAGAGTCAATTTGCTTTTATTGCCAAGAGAAGGGGCATTGGAGACGAAGCTGCCCTGTTTACCTAAGAGATCTAAGAGATGGGATAGTCGAAACGTATGGCTCTAATTTAGGTAAAATCCATTGACTAACTTTTTTAAGCTTCATTCTAGATTCTGAATACATAATGTGATAAGATTACAATTGATGTTTAGAAGGATCAAAGAAAAAAAAGAAGCTTAAGGGAAGAAGTGAGCAGACCTAACCGTGAAGGAATGGATTTCGATCGCGTTTCTCGAAGATTAGATTCTTGAGCTACTACTTAGAGTTAGAATTAGATTGCTAAGAAAGATGTATTAGCGTAAGTTTTTCAATGAGTTGCGTTGTAAGGACAAATTTTTCCGCAATAAAATAAATTTTGATTTTAAATTTTATTTATTTATCCTTACAATGGCGTGTATGAAAAATTGATGTTAAAATTATTAGCAATAATGGATTTGTTTCTTATTGTGTTATGGAAAGTCAAGAATTTACCAAATAGGGAGAGTTTCTCATCGCCCAAGTTTCAATTGGACAGAAACTTGGAATCATACAACCTGGTTGCACGATGAATGAGAAATTCAATATTTGGAAATTAGACTAATTCATTGACAAAGTGTCAAGTGACGGACTAGGAGATCGAGTACACAAAGTTGTGTGTTGATCAAGTTCACCATAAGAGTAACAAAGATATTCGTCATGATTTGCTAAAGGCTTAGTAGATATGATTACACTTACAAGATTAAGTGTAATTTTGAATTGATTAAAGGGTTTAGATCAATAGCAAAACGAATAAGAAGAATCAAGTAGGCAGAAAGATAAGAGTTTCTCCATTCTAAGAAGAAGGGAGAGTAGCTTTTATGCTTTATGATAGGTCTTAATGATTAAGAACCATATCTCAATTGATCCTCTAAGTGAGTCTTGGTACAAGTGTATGTCCAAGAAGAGGAATCAAAGATTGAAGAAATGGTCAAATCAAGAAGTCAATCATACTTCGTTCCAAAACAAGTCTTAAAGTCAAGATTGTGACATTGAGTGAATAGTTTTAAGAAGGTTTATAACATTCATCAATTGTGGAAAGTTGTGATGTCTTGGATAATACAAAGACCAACTAAGACCAAAATTATGAAGTGTTTTGTTTTGATAAGAGAATCGTATATGTCAAGGAGTCAGTGGGAGTCTTAATAGTCTTGAAAAGTTTCAAGAACAAATCAAATAAACGTTATCGCACTACTAGAAAAAAGGCCTTTTACGACGCTCATTGCGCGTCGTAAAACGCTGAGACGACGCGCAAATGCGCGTCAAGGAAGGCCCTGTCATAAAGAGAGACGACGCGCTTTTGCGCGTCGTCTATAAACGACGCGCATTTACGACGCACGGTTATGACACGCAATGCGTATCAAGGAAGGCCCTGTCATAAAGGAAGACGACACGCATTTGCGTGTCGTAACTTTACGACGCACGTGTTTATAACACGCAATGCATATCAAGGAAGCCTCCGTCAAGAAAGGCCATGTCATAAATGAAGACGACACGCATTTTTGCGTATCGTAATTTTAATTTTTTTTTTTAAAATATATATTTATATATTTATTAATTTATAAATTAAATTTGCATTTAATCTCTCATAATAGAAATAAAATACCATATACAAAAAATACAATCCATTGCATAATATTAAATAAAATACCATATACAAAAATACAATCCATTACATTTAATCTGTATGTATAACAAAGACACATGTGTTAAACTTGTTACCATTAACATCTAATCGTATGGACTCGAGTGTTAAACTTGTTACCATTAACATTTGATTCATAAGTCCTTTCTACAAGATTGTTACCTGCATAAATGAAAACAAACAGGAACATTAACAACCCAGCTATGACTCTTTTTGTCCCAGAATCTGAATTAAACCACAAGTGATAACATTAGGCATTAGGCATTAGCATCTGGTTTAGCATACAAATGTCTTACCAACAAAGAAAGACAAAGTAGTATAGCATTAGGCATTAGCATCAGTGTTGGTCAAACACTCTGCATCAGTCGAAACTAAGGCAATTAAGACAATCCATAGTAACATTAGAGTTACCCTGCACCAGTCAAAAGTATCCTCTATAAAGGATCAGGTAGAAACTCTATTCTCACGTTCAAGAGGTGAAAAAACTCTTCAAGTTCAGATAAGCATCACAAAAATCTACTTAACTATTTAATTCCCAGCCAAGGGTTAAATACCCCATTAAGAGACCAAAATAATCGGAACCACTGGTACAGTTAAGGATTGCCCTCACAATAAAAGAAACACAAAAACAGGTGCTGCTATGCCCACAATTACTAAGGAGAAATAAAAATAAATTAATAATATTCTAAAGCACAATCGACATTATGCAAATTATAAGTGAAGGCAACAATGTGACATTCAAAAGTATGCTTTCCCATTTATGCTAACACCTTAAATAAACAAACACAGAGGCCTAAGATCATGAAGTTTCAAGGAAGATGCATACCACATGGTAATATGTTTTTCAGCCAAAACCACGTTCTTTGTAAACTATGATCATGAGCCAGTCATTTACTAGTTCTCTATCTTGGATGTCCATATCCTGACAAAGTAAAATAAGATCTCAGTTAAAATGATGAATACAATAATTATGCAACCAGAACCATAGATAAAATTCAGTTTGACAATTGTAAGAATCACCTGTTTTGTTTTGAGAACAAGGGCTTTCCAAAGATGGCTACTAAAGCGGGGGATAAAAGATAAAAGAACCTGACTGCATATAATCAAAAACCAACAATTCAAGAATTATTTGATATGCGTACAGTAGTTAATTAATATGTGTTAGCAATAATTTAATCGGTCAGAGCAAGATTTCTTGAATACAATATGTTACAAACTGTGAAAGAGAAACCCTTTGTCCACTTCCACCATGAAAAGTGGAAAACCAATCATTATATAGCATAGACATCTGGTTTTACAAGAATGAAGTTAATAATGATTAGATTGATAAATTAAGGAGTTAAAAATGAAGAAATATGATGTAATAAGATGAGAAAAATTATTAGGTAACAGGTTAAGAAGATATAAATGCACCATCATCATCCTTGTTGTGTTGGACATAGAATAGGATGCATACCAACCAGCTTGATGAACAACAAATCAAAATAAATAAATTAACTCATTTCTCATTTTCTAATATATCTTAATGTTAAATATAGCATTTACCTAGCACAACTTGATGAAGATCATAAACATCCTTTATGATAAAGTAATATATGAGCAATTATATAATTGTTCTAAGAAATGAACACAATACTTTCTAATTTCAACTTAACATTGATATGGCATAGAAACTTACATTCTCTTGTACCAAATAATTTCTTATTTACTCGTAGTAGCAGTAACTATATCTTCATTTTTTATTTTTTATTTTTTTAAATCCTCACAAGTATTTATAATCATAATCTCTGACTATAACTCTAACCGGGAAGAAGAAGGCTTTTCCCTGGTACTATCTCGCAAGTCAGCTTTCTGGCTAATAAATTATGTGTTGGCGTGATAATATCAACCTCCAAAAGAGAGATAACATCCTCAAGTTCCTCATTGGACTTTGATGAAGCACCAACATTTTCATCTGCAATTTCCATCAGATTATTAGTAAATAAGGAACAACCTAAAAGATTAGATAAAACACTAACCAGATTGTGCAGCATCAAGAAGTTGCTCAAGTTCAAAAATCCAATTAACACGACCAGACAGTTCAATGAACTTTCTATGCAGCTCCAAGATGTCACCAAAGACCAAGAAGCTTTGAGATACAACTGATGCCAAAAACCGCAATGCATGTGCAAGCTCACCTGCTAACAAAAAAAACCCACTCACATCCAAACAAAAAAAATAAAAGCCTACATTTCATTAGGTTCAGGTAATCGATTCACAACTACTAAACTATTTCCAATTGTGGTAAACAAATGTCATGATGAATCGGAATTGAGAATGGGAATTGACCTTGAGTGGAAGTCAATGAACGATCAGCTTTGTGCACTATAGCATATAACAAGCGCAATCCTGAGGTAACATTGTGGGGTAGTTGTTTGGTGACAAAGTCATCCAGTACTCCAAATAACCATTTCTTCCTCAGAAGTATTTTAGCATGAGCAAGAAGCTCATTAAATCTTGACTCAATCATCTGTCAGACAAACCATATTCAAGTATTATTATTATTAATATTATATTCCAAAATTCTCCTTTGTGGAAGGAAATATAAAAAAGGAGGAGAGGAGTTACGGCTTTCTCTCGAGCACCACCTCCAAAGGAAGCAACAGATTCAGCATGTGTACGCAACCTCTCGTGCATGGAGTCAAATACCACCTGGATCAGCATTTCCAGCAATCTGCAGGGCATTTGAGTTGGCAAGGTCTGAATTTGTTGGTGTCACAGCAAGAATTAAACAGTTGGTAGCCTTAATGTATGACACTATCATTGTTCTGATGCCAGAGTTATGTCAAGAACATTAGGAGAGAAAATCTTTAAACGAATTTGCTTGTCAGAAACCAAATATAAGCCTGTGATGATTTTAAAATATTTAAATTAGTCTAATTTCCTATAGTTATTTAAAAGGGGAGAGTGAACAGTTAGACATATGTCTAAATTTGGTCCCTTTAATACATGATTAGTAAGTAACTTAATCTAGTAAGCTATATCAGTTTTCTTTTTGACTTTTTGAGTTAATGCAGAAAGAACATAGGAAACAGAAACATACAGATGCTATGATGTTGACACCACTTTCTTCATCTGGATCTTCCATTAACTTTTTAATGGAGGGAATTTCCTCAAGAATATGAATATAAGTGTCCCCACCACCAGGCACAATACCCTCATCCATGGCTACATACGTGGCATTTTTTGCATCCTCAATTCTTAGCTTTCGATCTTCTAATTCCATCTCAGTGTGGGCCCTTACCTATAACCAAAATTCTTTCAATTCATTCTATATACATTATTTTAGTCATAATTAATAAATAAACTGACCTTGATAATGGCAACACTACCAAAGAGTTTTGCAATTCGTTCATCGAGCTTTTTAGAAGGATAAGAACTATTTGTTTCAGAAAGATCTTTCTTTATTTGTGAAATTCTTGCTTTGATTTCAGCTTTCGTGGATGGATCAGCTACATATGGATAGTTACCTTATCATGTTAGATCAATATAAATCCGATTTTATGATATATATATGACTATATTCTTGATCAAATTAAAGATAATTATCAATTAATAAGATAATTGTTTCCTTATAAGATAATTGATTAATTATTGATAAATTGTTTTGCAAGAAATCATTAAACAAATCAAATATGGATAATTATGTAATTAAATGTTAGTTTAGATTATTTGTTATTTGAACCTTGTTGTTATGAAAAGTTTCATATTTTCCCCTTTAGGTTTTATAGTTTAAATTTGAACCCAAAAGTTTTGAGGTTTTGAAATTTAAATAGTTAAAACCCTAATGTTTTGAAATGTTTCAAAACTTGCCCTCAAGTTTTGGAATTTAAAAGTTGATTAAAAGTTTAATTAGGAATGTTAAATTCTAAAACCCTAGTAATGTTTTGAAAAGTTCAAATCACACCCTTATGGTTTTATTAATTAATTAAGGAGTATAATTAAAAGAGGTTTAATAAATCCATAAAAGTTTAGGTTAACCGTTTAATTGAATTAAAAGTGTAATTGTTAAAGTTAACCATATAGTATTTTAAAAGTATAAAATACATCCTATACTATATATAACATTAAAAGTATAACATTATATATGTATGAGTAAAAGTCAGTCTTACCGTTAGTAGGCCTCATTCACGAAGCTGGTCTAATAAGGGGTGTTTAAGGAAATTGCATATAAAATGGCAATTGAATGGGTATCCACTCTTACCCACCGCACTCTTGACTAGTGGAAGGTCGTTAGCCGAACGGGTAGGATATGACGAAACCTTCCATTATAAGTATAATGAAATACAAAGTAACTAGATGTTTTTCAAATTCCCAATTTTAGTTACTTAGGCAAAAGTGAATTGATGCAATTCCATGAAATTACACTTTGTGCCCTTGCGAAGACGTTAGTGGAGCGTGTGTGGTTTACCGGCACACTAAATGGTTCTAAGCAAAGGTAGCAAAGGGTGACTCAATGTTTGTCATAGTTCGGTGGAGCGTGTGTGGTTTACCGGCACATCGAATAGGTGATTGTAACATGTGAGGGCACCATGTAGTTTGCATGGTTATTCACACCCGCTTTGTGATCCTCGGCATCCCAGTCACAAACAAGAGGGGCATATCGAGATTTAAACATGCCATTGAAATGTTCAATGAATCTCAAAGGATCTAGGAGTTTTCATAGATTTAAAACTTAAATTTTTTTCGTTTTTCATGGTGGAAATTAGTGAATCGTCATTCACTTACCTTCAAATGTTCTGCAATTTGGGTTACGGCATCCCTCTCCCGAGTTGTAGATATTGTGTTGGGTCCTAGCCTTGTATTTCATTTGGGTGATTTACTAAGGACTCAATCAATCAACTAACTTGAATTCGTTTTTCTCCCGATGTCAAAGTTCGACAACTATGGTCTTCTCAAATCCCGTGGAACAAGCATTCCACATGAAGATGATATTCCACGATTCGATCGAGGAACAAGAAATCATGCTTCACTTCCTCCTCCTCCTCCAATTATTCTCCCTAACCCACAAGATTGTAAAATTGAAAGGTTCAATATCACTCAAGCCCTTTTGGCAAGTAAACATAAAGAGGGCAAAGTCGGTGTGTGCACACGTCTTAGGGATGAAGTCACACATTGATAAGTTAAGAATGATGGGATCCGTTGTCGTGAGAGATGGCTGTTGATTGGGTTCTTCAGTCACTTCCTAACTCATATAGTGAGTTCGTAAGAGAGTACTATATGATGAACCGCGACGTGACCTTATAGATCTCACCTATATGCTTATTGCTGCTGAATCAGCAATGGTTTGGCACAAGAAAAGCAAAGTTGATTGGTGAATCTGCCTTCGAGACCTCTATGGATATAGACAATGGCAAGAAAGACATGCTATGATTAAAAAGTTTATCATAAGAGAAAGGCAATGTCTGAAGTAGTTCCATGTCCTTTCCAAAAAGAGTCAATTTGCTTTTATTGCCAAGAGAAGGGGCATTGGAGACGAAGCTGTCCTGTTTACCTAAGAGATCTAAGAGAT